AATTTAGGATCATAATTATGTAACATGATTTATTATATCAAAATGATTAAAAAACAGCAATTCCAAAATAGTGATGATAGCCTCCAATAGAAGTTAGATTCGTATCTTAGGCATCTCTTAGTCATATAAATGCTCACATTATTATGACTGCAGGAAATGTGGCTACAAATATCTTAACACTGAGTTCATTGGGAGAGGGGCATAAATACATATTTGGCATAAATACTGGAACAGTACAGAACTCCTTCTGTTTTCATCCCGAAGTCTATTTACTGCTAAAACTGCTCTGATTAATAACACAATCTCATTTATAGAACAAACTGACAATACCCATAAAAACACAAAAATTAATATCTTCATTTGAAGAAACAAACTTTTGAAACCTGAGGAAATGTAATCTAATAAAGGTAGCATTTTTCTTTTGAGAAGAATAGATAATTCTCAGTGAGTAGGCATTTTCTTATTTATTGTTTATTTATATTTAGTATTTATTTATTAAAAATAAATTATTTATTTAATCTAAAAAAAGTAGGGGTCTTTTATTTGCAATGAGCAAACTGAACCCTGATATTACATATCATTGGGTGGATTTGAATGGACAATGGATGAACAATTTGTCCCTTGGTACAAGACAGCCATAAATGGTTCAGCCCAGGTGAAGCGCAACTAATTTTATATAGTGCTTGAAAGTAGTACCGCTAAGTGGAAAGAACATGAGACTTTAATATGGCTGGATTTGGCTTGAATTCTAGCTCTATTGCTTACTGGACTTGTGAACTTTAGTCTCAAGTTACTCATATGTGAAATAATGTTAAAACTTACTCAGATGGTTGTTGTAATGATTAAATGAGTTAGTATTTAAAAACATTGATTAGAGCCTGGCATACGTTAGACATGTTCATTTCCTTACTTGAAATTCTACAACTAAAGCTTGAGAGGGCAACTCATTGCCCTCCCTTCTTCTTTTGCAGGCATGAAATTATGAAATGGAGGAAGATGGAGAGTCCTTTGAAATAAAAAAGTGAAGCGCAAATAGAAATGTGTCCTTTGTAGATACAGTTGCTGTATCAGGATGTATTGATTTTAAAGATCATCAGAGCATGTGTCAAGCAATTTAAATTCTTTTTGCATGTAATAAAGAACAACTTGAAAAGATATTCTTATATGCATAGGCACTAAACTTATTCCAATGACATTTGATATATAAAACTGCAAAAGTACAAATATTGCCTCCAAGATTTTTTTTGGTGGGAGATGAATGCATAACAACATAGCCATACTATGGCTATTTTAAAAAGTCTTTTTTGACCTTCATTTGCTGTGAGCTGATAGTTTTTGCAGTCACTGTTATAAATGTCTATTTCAGGTGATCTCTATACACTGTCATGTTGTTCTGAACAAGCAGAATGATCAAGGTATTATACATTTATTTACCCTGAACTGAGTCAAACTGTTGTGATGTCCAAAGCTGATGGATGAGATGTTGCCTCTGCCACAAGAACCCACCCTTGGAACTGTTGTCTTCAAGAACACTCTATCTTGGTTGTGCTCCAGGAATAAGAAGATTGCCACTAAAGCTCTTAGCTCCAGGGACATGATACAGCTCCTAGATCAACACAGGTGAAAAGTAGATGTCCTAAGCTTAGCCATTGGATCTCTATAACCACTGTGATTTCCAGAAAAACTAATATATGCAAAAGAAGTAAAGCTTATAACTCATTTCCACATTCCAAGAGTTGATTGAGTGCATATAACTGGCTGAAACTAAGTTACATCTGATAGCCTAGAGACATGACATATACAAGGGCATTTGGGATATATGGCCTGTAGATTTCAGCTTTAAGGATATAAGAAGGGACTTTCATTTCCATTCAAGATAGATAAAATGACAGAAATCAGATTTTACCTCTTGCCTCAACCAATCAGAAGGAAATAAAATCAGACAAACTAGATAAAATACTGGTTTCCCAGACACTGGACATCAGGCAGTGAAAGACAATGATTCTTAAGAGATGGGAAACAAATGAGGTAAGTCTTATAATTGCTTCAGCTTACTGTCTTAAGAAAGTTTCCAGGCCACCAAGTAAGGAGAAAGAAGAACCTGGCAGATCATATCAGTTGAAGAGATGGAACTGAGAATCTAAGGAGACTAATATGGCTACTGCTTGCTGGACAGGGTACCAGAGAGAAGAGAGCTCACAGAAAGAAAATTCTGGAAATATGCAGAGTGCCACCCTTGAGTATGCAGCAGAGTACTGATAGGCAAATATATGTGTGAGGAAATTACTGGAGGTCAGGGAAAGAACCATTTGAAAGCACTGGAGGGATCAGTACTTTGCAAGCACAAAAGTCTAGAACAGTGCCAATTCTCTCCAACTAAACTGGAAAGCCCCACAATTCATGAAACATTGATCAAAAGATTCAGAAGGATCTTGCCTCAGTAATAAGATATAATTAGCCTTAGACTAAATGTTGCTCTAAAGACCTTAAAAGCAACACTTAAAAGGATCATATAGTTGAACTGCAACCCAGAACACAGCTCAATATTTACAGGAATACAAAATAAATACAGCTTCCAAAAGATAAAACTCACAATGTCCAGCATTCAGTCGAAGATTACCAAACACACAAAGAAGTAGGAGAATATGACCTACACTGAGAAGAAAAATTAATCAAAACCAACTCAAAACTTACACAGATGTTAGGATTAACAGAGGACATTGAAACAATTATATAATTGCATTCCAGATGGTCAAAAAATTATTTAGAAAATGAAAAGTTAAATAGAGACATGAAAGTTATTTGTAAAAGACCCAAATTTAATTTCTAAAGATGAAAACAACAATGAGAGATGAAAAATACACTGGACATGATTAATAGATTAGATGCCACAAAAGAAAAGATTAGTGAACATGAATATATAGCAATAGAAATTATCCAAAGGAAACACAGAGAAGAAAGATCTAAAAAAATGAAAGGATTATCAGTGAGCTGTGGAAAAATTCTAAGTGGCCTAATATATGTATAATCTGTGTTCTTAAAGGAAGGGAAAGAGGGAGGGAAAGAAAAAATATATGAAAGCATCATGGCTAATAATTTTCCAAATTTTATTGAAAACTATAAACTCACAGAGCCAAGAACATCAATACCCTATAAGCACATGGAACATGAAGAGAAATACACTGACATATATCATAATCCAATAGTTCTAAACAAGTAATATGTGAAAATGTTTGTGCCAGAAAAAAAAGACACATTATGTAGAAAGAACAAAGAAAATATATTGACAATGGACCACTCATCAGAAATAGTACAAGAAAAGAGTGGAGCAATATCATAAAGAGCAATAAGAGTCAACTTAGAATTCTATACACAGAGAAAATGACTTTCAAAAGTAAAGACAAAGATGTTTTCAAACAAAAGAGAGCTGAAATAATTCATTAGCAGCAGATGCATAATATAAAAAATGGTAAAGGAAGTTCTCTAGGCAGAAGGAAAATGAAAAGGGAGTCTGAAACTTCATAAAAGAAATGCATTGGGAATGGTAATTGTATGGCTAGATATCTAATTTTTTTCTTTAAACCTCTTTAGAACAAATTTACTGGTTAAGCCAAAATATTAACATGTATCATGGTGCTTATATACATTTAAATACAGCTGACCTTGAACAACATGGGTTTGAACTGAGCAAATCTACTTGTATATGAATTTTTTTCAATAAATATATTGGAACATTTGGGGGGATTTGTGACAATTTGAGAAAACATTTTCTTTTTGATAGCTTACTTTATTGTAAGAGCACAATATAAAATACATATGACATAAAAAATCTGTGTAAGCAGACTGTTTATGTTATCATAAGGTTTCTGGTTAACCATAGCCTATTAGTAGTTAAGTTTTTGGGAGATCAAAAGTTATACACAGATTCACAACTGCACAGGGGATCAGCGCCCGTAATCCCAGTATTGTTCAAGGGTCAACTGTACATACAAACAAAAATACATACATGCATACATACAAAATGTATGACAATACTACAAAGCTGGAAGGAAGGGAATAGAACTATACTTTGCAAGCTTCTAAATCAATGTGTAAAGTAGTATAATATTACTTGATAGTAATACTAGACTGGGATAAGTTAAATATGTATATCATAAACACTAAAGCAACAGCTAAAATAACAATGACAAAAAAATTATAGCTAATAAGTCAACAAAGGTTTCAATAAACCTAAAAACATCAGAAAAAGAGGAAAAGAGAACAAAGAACGATACCAAGATAATTAGATGTAAATCTAACCAGATCAATATTCACATTATCTTGATCTGGGTGATAGTTACATGAATGTATACACATTTCAAAATGCACCAAGCTGTACACTAAGATTTGTGCATTTTATTATATGTACCTCAATAGAAAAATAGCTCTCTCATTCTTTCTCTATGGATTGGCGTTTAAGGGTTATTATCTACTAAAGCCATAACAATGTGATTTTTATATTTTCACTGGCAACTATTTGAATGTATGGCATTTGCAAATGGATTAGTTTGTGGAAGGATTAAACATGAATATTCTAAAACTTTAAAAAAAGTTTTAATTGAAGTTTTAAATACTTCAATTAAAAGGCAAAGATTATCAGAGTGGATACAAAAGCAAAATCCAGCTATATGCTGCATATAGGAAACACACTTTAAATCTAAGGACACAGTAAGTTAAAATTAAAAAGATGGAAAGGTATATCATGCTAACACTTATCTTAATTAACATTTATAGAATATTCACCTAACAACAGTAAAACACAATCTTTTCAAGTGTGAATGAAACATTTGCCAAGAAAGATAGAGTCTGAGTCATAAAACAAGTGTCAAGGACTCAAGTCACATAAAAGAACATCCTTGGACTACACAAGCAGTTAGCAGTAGAGTTAGCATTCATCAAGGCCAGCCTGGTGCCCAGATCTCTATTGTTTCTTTCCCATTGTGTTTTCCTCCCTGCTGCCTCCTGCGTTTTTGCATTTTTCTCTGACCTGAATGACTCTGGGCTTCTTTCCCTGCCTCAACTATAACATCTATCTGATAGGAATCAAGTTTCTACTCTCCTCTTCCACTAAACTTCCTTTATGATCAGTTCACTGAGCCATGTGTTGCGGCAGACTAGATTCTTAAGGTAAGACATTTAGACTTTAAGTCAGAGGTATCTTGGAGGAAAAAAAAAAGTCATATTTTTTCTATACATTAATTTCAAGTCTGGAAATGACTACTTCTTGAAGCTGGTGTTAATTATATCACATTTCTGCTCTATAATTTGCTAGAATTCTGCTCACATTTTCTCAATTGCTTTTTGATCTTTGTAAAACTGCCTCTTTCTGACATGGCATATGCCTTAGACCAGAGTGCTGTGGCAATTTTGTTTCTGGCAAAACTAGCATAATGAATGACATTCAGAAATATGCCACATTCCTGTGGCTCTACTCAGATTTTGACCAAAATGATAAAAGACAAAAAAATTATACAAATGATCTGCAGATTCTATAGACCTTTGTTGTATTATTCATAAAAGCATTTTATTAGTATGTGCAAAGTGAATGCAGATATTTGAAGATTTAAAAAATGGTCATTTTGCCGGAAACAATAAAGTGATTAAAAAAGAAAATAAATATGGCAAGCATGTGCTACTGAAGGAGAAACAGCTACAGCTTGCATACTTTCAAATGACCATATATAGAACTTCTCGACTGCTGTTGTGTTTATCATCCCTGAAAATTTCAGTTGCATCACTAAAGAATTTTATTTGCCATTTTTTTGTTGTTTACTACTAGAATTATTTGTAGATCACTGTACATATGCACAATGTAGATGAAACTGGACTCTTCACATTTTCTCCTGATTTTGCTTTCTTCTTTATTAAAATACATGCTGATGGTTAAAATTTAAAAGAAAAGGAAGGTACTATGAAAATAATAACTCTTAATCTGTACAATAATTTCTAAATACCACAGTTACTAAGAATAACTGGTCACCATAGGCTGAAGCAGAATTTTGGGTTTATAACTAATTCAACAAACAATTACTGAATGCTGCTCTCTGCTAAGCACTGAGGTGAATAAAAAATAGAGGCCAGGTTAATACTCTATCTTTTCTCTCCTACTCAAGAAAGCCATGTTGGAATGTAAGCCAGTAAAGAGATTATCAATAGGAGAGTAATTTAAAATCTGATCCAATTTATAAAGAAAGTAAATCTGCAAAACTTACTTCAGTAATAGTAACACTTTACACTGGATGATGTATTTGTCTACTCAGAACCACTACCTCTCCCCAAGTTCTCATAGGAATTGCCTTGTTCTTACCTAAACCTGCACCCTGCTTCCTGCGGGAGAATACCTAACCAAGGCCAAGGGAATCAAAGACCTCTTTTCCTCCTTTCCCTCCTTAATTTCTTAATTTCTCTCTCTTTCTTTCTCATATTAGGATCACAGTGAGCAGCAGGCCACATTCCTCTTATGGCAAAATGATCAAAAGCTATAACTTGGGAACTTTAAGAGACAAATCCCCTAATTAATGGATAGATCCATCCAGTTAGAGGGATCAAAGCCCCGAGTAAAGCGAAAGAAAGGTGGGAGGCTGAGAGAGTGACAGTGCTCATACGCCTGGTTCACGCTCCAGAGACACAGCTCCAATCCTGCCCTTCCACCTGGTGTAAGACATGTTGCCCCCGTTTTGCATAAGTTTGTTGAACTTTTTCTTTGTCGTCAAATCACTTGCAAATGAAAGGGTCTACACCAGTGTACTGTGATAGTTCTGTTGGGAAGTGCTGCCTTAGTGAGAGGACTCCTACCCCACTGCAAAGGCTCAGATTAGAGAATAAGAACCGAGATTTACACAGTGAATCAGGAAGTTTAACAATAATTCTGTAAGCAAGATGTTCTGTTTTATGATGAAGAATCACTCCCAAATAAATATCAAGGGGAAGTAACATCACTTCAGCTCAAAAAATACATCACCGAAAGAAGCCGCAAGAACTATCTTAAATTGAATTAAGATGTTCAGTTACCAGATAATATTGACTCGCTCTATTACTGCAGGCGAAAATCAGTATGATTCCAGAGCGGAACTTTTTTGTATTTCCGCAGCAAGCCTTGTTCCTAATTCAAATGGAAATTAAAAAGGTCCTATGTGGGAGCTTCGAAACTAAAGTTGAAGCTGGGATATGCCTCCATGTAAACAGGAAGACCTCCATGGTTCAGAACCAAAGGAGTTTCTGGGAAACAGCTACTGCTCTTTTGAATGACCCCTTTTTTATTGGTCACTGCCTGGCCATGTCTGAGGCTACTAACACCACATAAGACCATAAGAGAATAGTAAGTGAATCTGGGCTTAGGGAGTATTATATAGCAGGCACTCCATTCTTTCCTCTCACCTCTCATTTTGATGTGCTGGGATTTGGTATTGATTTTGGACTCTTCACCTTGGCAACCACATTGATTTCCACCTCTGATAGTTGTGTTTTGGTTCCAAGGCTGTCCAGGCCAAGGTCATCAGAATATTATCCAGTTAGACCCTGGACTTTTCCAGTCTGAGGATGGGGATGTGACGGCCAGTAGAGCAACCTTTCAACTCCAGATTTTTTTCTATACATTAATTTCAAGTCTGGAAATGACTCTACCTCTACAAGCTGGTGTTAATTATATCACATTTGTGCTCTATAATTTGCTAGAATTCTGCTCACATTTTCTCATTTGCTATTTGACTTTTGTAAAACTACCTCTTTCTGACATGGTATATGCCTTAGACCATAGAGTTGCAGCAATTTTGTTTCTGGCAAAACTAATATAATGAATGTCATTCAGAAATATGCCACATTCCTGTGGCTGTACTCAATGTTTACAATGAAAAGTCAGGACTATTTTTCTGTGCTTAGTATTAAATTGCTGGAATAGTTGTGAAGGACAGCATCAAACCATTTGTATGTTCTTCTGAGAAATGAACTTAGCCTTTGTTTCCCATGACAAACTTCTGAACTCTGAACCACTTGTCTAGTTTTTAGGAGTATGGGTTAGAATCATGAGTAAGCAGAGGTCTATGATGGAAAAGACTATCTTACTCGTTTTTTGATTCCTGGCACCTAACACACTGTTAAGAACATTGTAATGCTTCAAAAAATTTGTGGTGCAAATGGACCTACGAATAGATACCTAGCTACATAATTGAATTTACCCTGCTTTCAGAATAAATGTGTTCTATGATATACGTCACATAGCAAAAGGGGTTGGTAACCTAGTTCCATCTATACAACACTGCCAGCGAAGGAGAAGGATCACTCTAAACTGAAGGCATGCAGCCGGAGAGAATCCTAATCTTGAATGACTACCTTAAGGCCTAAGTAGTAACTCCAAGAATGCAAAGAGTTCCTGAAGTTGGCCAAAGATCCATTTGAAGAGGAGCCATCAAACTGGAATGATGTTCATGGTGAAATGAAGCTTACGTGATACATCATAAAATGTCATACAAAATGGATAGATCTCAGTTGCAAATGGAAGCAAACGTGACAGACAGTAGAAATGGAACTCTAAAGATGGAGGATTTTTGAGGAATATGCTTCATGGAAATTAAACTGCAGAGTGGAACAGTCCTCAATCTGAGCCATCCCAGGGAATGTGTCCTGTTTTAGAGTAACTAAGTAGCCATGGAAAGTAGCAAGTTTGAAAATGATGGTACCGAAGGCAGGGTGCAGTATCAATCATTAATTCAGGCAAACATCAAGGTACAATAATTTGTTCCTTTATTCAGTCAACAACAGGTTCTGGGCACTGCACTGAGTGTTGTAAGAGATAAAATAAATGTGGGTAAGACTTGATTCTTGCCTGTAGTAGTTTATAGGGAAGTGGCCGCTTCTACTTTTCAGGACTGAAATAATACGCGAACCATATACAAACCTCCTTCAAATTTTTCATTTGTAAAGTGAAGATAGATAGCACTCTCTGATCAGCCCAGCTAAGCAGAGTTTGGAGATAATGTGGCAATGTTATTGCAAAGGTGCTTCATAACCATAAATATTATATATAGGAAATAGAGGATTCTTCTACTACCACTAAGATGACAGCAGCAGCAGGAAAGAATGAAGCAAGATCTACAAGATAATGCAAATGCTGAAACAAGTCTTTGAAATAGTAGTGATTAAGACTGGTTTCCTAACAGGATGGAGACACTGATCTGGGTGTAACTGGCAATCTGAGAGCAAAGCCAGGGAGGGTCCTTCAGAACAATCCACAACCCTTTCGGCTCCTTTTGGCTCTTTTACAGGTAGCTGTATATCAGCTTAAGTTTGTAAATACCTACATGCAGCCACATGCTTGCACTTCTGTGATTTCTACCCCTCTCCAACTGGGTATGTTGTTGTTATTCTGTGGTTTAGTATGAACTCATTTCTTTTTATTTGTTGCCTATTTCCTTTCTCAATCACCTCTGCGACATGGGGCTGGGATGCAAGGCCGAAGAAATACAAGTTAGGTTGATTTAAGAAACAACAGGTGAACAACATTTGGATATTTTACTGATTAAAAATGTTACTTGGAGGGAACAAAATGAAAGTCTCTCACTGCAAAGACTGAACATGCAAATAAAAACTTAAAACATAAAAAAATGTTACTTGGTATTTTTCCATTAAATTTTGCAAATGAAAATGGTGACATCACTCCCCTCAACTCCCCAAAGAGAATTTTTAAGCATAGATGACTAGCCATGTTTTAACAATTCTGAAGCTTTTAGTACCGCTACCAAATCAAACTGAGTAAAACAGAGAAGTCAACATCTCAAGGCTTGAAAATTCAAGGGAATAAGGTAAGATTACAACCATGGGACAGTTATGTACCCTTGAGGTTGGGCTTTGGAAGGCTGGCAGTGCTGGAGGAGAGACAGGAAGAGAAGAAATGAGAAAATGTCAAGAGGTAGAGAAAGAAACTAGGATAAATCAAGACCAGCCTCCTCCCCATGAACCCAGAGAGGGCTCTTCGAGAAATTAAGAGTTTGAGTGGGCATGACATGTAGTCCAGAGTGACCTGTAAGTGCTCGGCATTGGGTGGTCAGATCATAAGAGGAACTTCAGCACAGCCGCGGAGCCTGGGTGGATGGAAGCCCTTTGGCTTCTGTCCAGGGTAGGACATTGCTGAT